GCTACAGTGCTGGCCTGATCTATAATAGGACTATCCTACATCCTAACTGGATATACCTAACCTACGCAGGACCTTAGAACCTTCATGATATTCTAGCAGATTGGAGCACACATCAAGAGTCTGTAACCCTTCCCCACTAGCATCCAGAACTCAAGCTTAGGTTTTAGTGTATCTCCGCTATCAGGCACTCATACCAATTTGAGTGCAGTACAGTATGGGCGTTCCATTGTCAATGATCCTGTGTGTGTATGAGAGTGTATCTTGGGGCCCATTCACATCCCTGTCCATAGATATTTTCCTTAACACAGGCCCAATGCTATAATGACTGAAATCTATTGTTTTCCAATTGGCCAGTTTCACACCAGTTGTGTTAAGTTGTTTGATGTGTGCTGGTGAAATTGGACCAGACTTACATTTAAACACAGTGAAACATGATTGTGATTCCATATTTTTGCTCCTCACTCTCCAGACCCTTCTCTCCTGCGTGCACCACTCTCTGGAACTCTCCCATATTAACCTGTGACGACTCTGTGTCCTCTCTCTTCAAACACACGTCTGCTGATTATGGGAAATTGGAACTTATTTTGCAGTAGATGCAAGTTACCTCTGCTGATGACATTATATTCCAAAGCCTGATGGAAATGTACAGAAGCACATGTACCTGGCCCCGTACGTTCTACACGACGTGGACTCTTACTGTGTTGGAAGCCATCGGTATGATAAGACCTCCAAGCCAAAAATACAGACCAACCCCATCCGACTGCTATGACAGCATAACGGATGACCAGTCCAGAACCCTTTCAATGTTTGTGATTATTTAATGAGACAGATCCAGGGCCTACCCCAAATACTCACATTCATCTTCCAGTGATGATACTAGTGACTGTGTGTCCGAGGATCACACAAAATCTCCGCCCATTTACACTCGCTGCTACTTTTAAAACACACATAATATTATTATTAATAAACAGGATTTATGGCTGCCAACAGTTTGCCTCAGCGTATGTACCAATATAAAGGTGAGAACAATACAGCAACAATAACAGTTCAATTAAAAGAGGGAAAGGAGGGGCCTGATCCTTGAAGCTTACAATCATAGAAGAGGGAGGTGGACTAGTGGAGTAGACACAAAAGGCGATCAATAACTTGTGAGGGAACGGACTGGTTGGACAAGGAATAGAAGATCTCAGGCTTATTAGCTGAAGGCAGGATAGAGGCATCCCTGAAGAGATCGTTTTTCCAGAGATTGCCTAAAAGTGGCAAGAGTAGCCAATACGCGGATAGATCTGGGTGTGGACAGGAGTTGACATTTTGGGGGTGGGGGATCCCTTCTGTATCATCTCCCCAAATCATCATGTATTTTAACCCACCCTGTTCCTGATTAAGGGTACAGGTGTGTATGTGAATGTTCCGCAGTCCGTGTGTATAGTGTGTGCCTTTGTTCTCGGAGCATAACCCACGATGGTTGCCCATCGGTCTAATACTGCCTAGTGTGCTATTCCTTTGTTCTAGTGTAGTCTTGCTGGCCATCCCAACTAATTATGGGATGTACTGTTGTGTGTATTTGGTGGTGTGGGGTGAGGTCAATTTCCCTTATGCCAAGTGGCTCTCATCCGCATGGTTCTTGTGTCCCCCCCCCTTGGTGGGGATGGAGAGGTGATGATATGTATTTGTCCTGTTCTTGTTGTTTTCCTCCTCGCCCCCGCTCCTCTGTATATATTCGGCCAGTGTTTTGTGTTAAAATAGAACAGAGTAGATTGGCTTCCTGTAATATTAGAGAAGAGCCTGGTGTGCTGTCTATTTTTCCTGAGGGATTTCAAGGTTGTGTGTCCGTGGATGGTGTCTTACGAGAACAGCAGGGAAGCTTATTGGTATAAACGGAAAAACTCAGTCGAGCGGTCTGGGGTTTTACGGTTATTCCGTTACATTGTGGCGGTCTTGGATTCGTTTTCCGTTACAATTGGTGGCAGCGGTGGGTATTGTGGCTTCCAATCCTGTAAAACGACACATCCAAACCACCCTCCGGGTTCAAGATCAGGAAAGTGAGACGTCAGTCATCTGCCCAGTGTAGATAATGACCTGGCAATCAGAGTTCCCAGTGGCTGCTAGCAGATATCATTCCTTGCAATACATACCCATGTCTGGTGTCTACGGATCATAGACCCGGAGGAGCTCATGCAGCGGATTTCGGAGGGTGCTTTGGAGAGGAGCCATCCCAGGCTGCTGTATGGGACAAAGTCAAGTGCAACCCAAATCCCCAAGGGGAACGCCAGGGACCATTTCGGAGAGATCCAGGACATATGCCATTGCCTGGGAGAGCAACCCCAGGAGCAATGGGTGGCTGAGTTGGGACAGGCTGGTCCAGCAGGAGGATAGAACTGGACAATAGATATCGGGCTCTGTGGTGGTACGCAGAGCAGGAATATTTAGGGGTGTCAACAGAGTGCTCTCCTGAGGGACTTGACTTTGGTGGGCCTGGATTGCTGTGGGAGAGCCTTACAGATCTTTTTGTGTTTGGCGATAGAGGAGAACCTACTCTGGAGGAGTTGCGGGAAGGCAGAGCGGCTATGTTCGGGGTCTCAGAGGGGATCTCAGAGCTTGAGCCAGATCTGCAATACCTGCTGATGAAAGAACTGCCATCTGGAAAGGGCATACAGGCAGCTTGCTAGGACAATGTTCGGCAGCATGCTCAAGAGTCATCTGTGGAAATCCAGAGACTGGGGATCTGATAGACCTCTCAGCTGAGGAGGAACCAGCAGTAGACCTGGTAACAGGGCCAAACATTACTGAACTCTGCCCAGGCACTGGTAAACGCTCTCCTGAGTTCCACGAACAGGGAGATGGTGAGCCCCAATCCCAAACACCAGTTCCAGAGGCTGAGGATTTGATTGACTTTTTTACTGAGGAGGAACCAGCCGGGGGAGCCGCCAGCTGAAGCACTGACAAACCGGACAGAAGGGTCCAGGACCTCTGCCTCATGCCTGTGGTAGTTTCAGAGGCCCAAGGTGAGAAGGGAGAGGGAGGTTGTTGTCCTCCCTCCCCCACAGTCAGCCAGAGAGGAGGAAACTGTTTTCCCTCCCAAGCCAGGATCTGTGCAGCAGGGTGGACAGTGACAGAGGAATGCCATCCAGCAGCAGATCCCACAGTCTGGGAGTGGAGGAAGTCGGCCTCCCTTCCCTACAGTTATTCGGAACAGATGTGGGGTCCCCAAGCAGAAGCGTTGGCACAGGGCAGAGCGCCACTGGCCTCTGTCTAGCAACTAGTCACCACTTGGATTACCCCAGGGATGCTGGGCAGTCGGCCCTAGATCCCCCACCGCATGATGGAGCCGGCCCAGCCACCCTGTCTTCTCCTCCCCAGCGGCTGAGAGGACTTCAGGGAGAAGGACCAGTCCGTACTTCTCCCCAGCGGCGGGTATGTTCTACGGGAGAGGCAGAGGTTAGCTGGGTGAGTAACGCTTGGTGTGGGATAATTTGCATGGGGTACTGTGTGGGTGTTGGCATTGAGGGACTGGAAGTACAGACTAACTTCAGAGTACATCCGTCTGGGATCTACTCCTGCGTTAGTCTCCTCGCTGCCGAAAGGGGAGATATGTGACAGAGTGACTTTGGGGGGTGGGGGGACCTCTGTATCATCCTCCCCAAATCATTATGTTTAACCCCACCTTGTGCCTGTTAAGGGGTACAGGTGTGTATGTGAATGTCCCAGTCCTGTGTATAGTGTGTGTTCCTTTGTTCTCGGCCACATGGTTGCCCATTGTCTATACTGCCATGTGGCTATTCCTTTGTTCTATTGTGTCTTGCTGGCCAGCCAACTATTATGGGATGTACTGTTTGTGTATTGGTGTGGGGGTTGGTCAATGGTCCTTTGCCATGTGCTTCATCCCATTGTTCTGTATCTTGGTGGGGATGGGGTGAGGGGTGATGATGTATTTTCCTGTTCTTGGTTGTGTTTCCCCGCCCCTCTGTATATATCCTGTGTTTGTGTTAAAAATAAACAGAGTAGTTTGGCTTCCTGTATTAAGAAGAGCTGGGTGCTGTCTATTTTCCTGAGGGATTTCAAGGGTGTGGTCCGTGGATGGTGTTCGGACAGGGGAAGCTGGAGTCTAACGGAAAAAAAAACTTAGTGCGTTCTGGGTTCCGGTTCCGTTACATTGGGGTAGAGAGTTTTTTAGACAATGGGGGAGGGGGGGGGTAAGCTCTGGAGATGTGCGTGGGAGGAGGAGACAAGGGAGCTAAAGAGCAGGAAGTCGTGGAGGAGCGAAGAGGACGGTTTTGAGTGATATTTGGAGACAAAGATTTGTGATGCAATTTGGGCGGGAGTTATAAATGGCTTTATATTTTATTTGTTAATGTTTTGAATTTTATTCGTTGGGCAATGGGAAGCCAGTGGAGGGATTGGTGAAGAGGGGTGGAAGACACTGAATGGAGGCTGGTGAATGGATTGGCAGAGAGGGGTGGAGGATAACTGAATGGAGGCCCGGTGGAGGGTATGGCAGAGAGGGGTGGAGGACACTCAGTGGAGGCCAGTGGAGGGATCAGCAGAGAGGGATGGAGGACACGGAATGGAGGCCAGTGGAAGGATCAGCAGAGTGGGATGGAGGACACGGAATGGAGGCCAGTGGGACGGATCAGCAGAGAGGGATGGAGGACACTGAATGGAGGCCGGTGAAGGCATTGGCAGAGGGGGATGGCAGATATGGAACGGTTAGTAAGGTGGATGAGTCTGGCAACAGCATTCATGATAGACTGGAGAAGATGATGTTGTGGAGGTTGGAAGATGTTGGTGGAGGTTGGAGATGTTGTGGAGTTGGAGATGTTGTGGAGGTTGGAGAGTCGGGGGAGGGGGGGAGGGGGGGGGTGGAGGTGAAGGGGGGGGGGATTTGGACAGTGATTGGATTTGGGGCTGAAAGGACAGATGGGAGTCTAGGATTACACCTAGTACCCTGGCATGAGGGGAGGGACTGTTGGTTGTATTATTGATCTTGATGGAGAAGTTAGGGGAGGGGCACGGAGGTGAGGAGGAGACTGAAGGGGTGAGGTAAGGAGTAGAAAGATAGATTTGTGTGTCATCAGCATAGAGATGATACTTAAAGCCATGGGAGTTTATGAAGTGACCAAGGAAGGAGGTGTAGATAGAGAAGAGAAGGGGTCCAAGGGCAGAACCTTGGGGGACCCCAACAGAAAGAGGAAGTGTAGAGGAGGAGACAGAGTTATAGGTAATGCTGAAGGAGCGCTGCAATAGGTAGGAGGAAAACCAGGTGAGAGCAGAGTCTCGGAGGCCAAGAGAGTGGAGTTTTTTGGGAGGAGGGGATGGTCAACAGTATTAAAAAGCCGCAGAGAGGTCAAGCAGTAAAAGTACAGAGTAGTGGCCATTGGTTGGGACGAGTACTGAGCAGTGGCCATTGGTTGGGACGAGTACTGAGCAGTGGCCATTGGTTGGGACGAGTACGGAGCAGTGGCCATTGGTTGGGACGAGTACGGAGCAGTGGCCATTGGTTGGGACGAGTACGGAGCAGTGGCCAATGGTTGGAATGAGTACGGAGCAGGTGGCCATTGGTTGGGATGAGTACGGAGTAGTGGCCATTGGTTTGGGACGAGTACGGAGCAGTGGCCATTGGTTGGGGGACGAGTATGGAGCAGTGGCCATTGGTTGGGACGAGTACGAAGTAGTGACTATAGGTTGGGGATGAGTACGGAGTAGTGGCCATTGGTTGGGATGAGTACGGAGTAGTGGCCATTGGTTGGGATGAGTACGGAGTAGTGGCCATTGGTTTTAGCAGTTAGTAGATCATTAGTGAGGTTTAGTAGGGCGGTGTCAGTGGAGTGGAGTGAGCTGTAAAGGGTGAAGAAGGTTGTTGTCGGTGAGGGAGAGGAGCTCAGGTGATTGTAGACTAAGCGTTCTAGGAGTTTTAGAGGTAAATGGCAGCAGGGAGATGGGTCTTAGGTTGTCCAGGTTCGTGGGGTCCAGGGAGGGCTTTTTAAGTATATTAAAGTGCCTACAGCTTCAACAGGCTTTTTTGATGCTTCAGTGATGCTTTAATCGAGCATGGCAAATGCCCTGTGTGTGTGTGATTTTTCTATTTGTTTTAAATGGGCCCAGTAGAACCCTGGCTCTGTAGTACCCCCACTCAGCAGATCCCCAGCTCATTAGTACCCTTGTTCGGCAAGTGCTTATTAGTGCTCTCATTCAGCAGATCCCCCCGCTCAGTAGTTCCCCCAGCTCTGCAGATCTCCCGCTCAGTAGTAGCCCTCAGCTCTGCAGATCTATCACTCACTGTTACCTCCAGCTCTGCTGATCCCCCACTCAGTAGTAACCTCCAGTTCTGCAGATCCCCCGCTCATTAGTAGCCCCCAGCTCTGTAGATCTCCCACTCACTAGTACCCCTAGCTCTGCTGATCCTCCACTCAGTAGTAACCTCCATCTCTCCTGATCCTCTGGTTTATTGATCCTCCTGTCTCTCTTGTCCCCACTCAAGTCCCGCTATATTGCTCAGTCCTGTCTCTCTGGTCCCCGCTCACCTTCTGCCATAGCGTTTCTATGTTGCACACCACATGTGCCTTCTGTTAGTTGCTCTGCTCTGGTCCGGACCCCGCTCACATTCCTGCTGCTCCACGCTGCACACCAGATGTGGCGTCTGCACCAGACACTCCCAGAATATATCCACAGGAAACGGAAGTGACTGCTGATGACGTCTTTCCATTTCGCTTGTTGGTTTCCCAGTGCATCCTGGGATATCTCATACCTCCAATACTTCAAAGCAAGGCAAAGCTGACTCTGAATAAAAGCCTCTGAAAAGCTGCAGGTGCTGTAAGTGAATGTTGTCATAGACTTCTAGGAAGGCTTTGAAGCCGCTATGAAGCACCAAGAAAGCGACATGGGGGATCATTTTTGAAGTAAAGCAAAGCAAGCACAATTGTGAACAGGAAAGTAAGGTAACCATTTTATTTAGCCTAGTGGGCTTTGATTGGCATTCTGAGTGCTTTAAAAAAAGTGTGTCCAACGCCACATGAAGCAAGTGTAAACGAGGCCTTAGTGCCCCTCGGTCTGATCGGGATATAATATTGTCAGAGTGTTGCGTCATCACTTGTCTGCAGCCGCCATAAAACACTGATAAATAATTCCAGAGGAAACAAGCACACAGGAACTCCATCGTGAAGGACCAGAGAGTGATGAGGAGGTGGAGGTCCTAGCCTCCCATTGTCTATATTCTCTGGGATCTCCATGGCTTGTTGCTCCACAACTCCTCATATGCTGCACTCATTCTCGGGGACTCTTATCTTCACTCACTGAGCCTCAGATAGGGAAAAGCCGTCTGCTTCTGGCTGGGGAGGTGGAAGGGGGTGGAGTGGAAGACAAATGTAGCCCCTATGGCATTACCAGTTGCAAATTTCCAATATTAGTGTATTATAGGTGACATGGTGGATCAGCAGAACTTCATCCTCCATTGGACACCATGTAACTACACAGAACCAACTCAATGTTGTCAATAATATTGGAAAAGACTGCATGGAGGAGCCATGATGGTTCCGTCTGTCTTCCATAGAATAGTCATGGTTGAGGTTGTCCCAGAAAATCCAAGCAATATCAGTGATGAGATGGTTCACCAATGGACGGTTACAACACATAAAGTGCTATTTAGTTGGTTTGTGCCGTGACCCCACATTGCTCTATCGGTCCAATAAAGGAAGCTCAGATGGAGGTTCTCACCCTCTTAGCTCCACCCATCATTTGGAAAACCAGTGACTCCACCCTCTGGCCTCTCCCAGCTTATTTCAGCTGATTATAGTTTTCTCCTCCATGGATCTGGTCTACTGAGATATATCCATCCTCCAAGCTGCAGATACTACACTCTTTGTTCTGCCCTCCTCTTTATTCTCTTTAGAATGTAAGCTCTTTGGTGCAAAACTCACTTTAGACACAAATACCGTACATAGACAGTACCACATTACTTGCAGTGCGAAAAAAGGGATCTGTGTCATTGAAGTAATATTTTCTTGGAATCTCAGGGCAGAATAGCAAAGTGTTGAAGTGCAATTATTGTATGTGACCTTTAGGATGAACCCCACCACAGCGCACGTGTTTTCCTGCATTGAGAGTTATTGCAGCAGGTTGTGGTGGCCATTTATAACGATTGCGCTCCAACACAATATACACTACGTGTTGCGTCAGGCGTTGCATTCTAAAGGATTGTTGAGGTGTGAATAAGAGTAGTGCCTTACCTCATGTGTTGTGTGGATGAGGCCATAGAAACAATATGAAGTCCCCACACTGACAGACATCTAATCTATAAAACTCTCGATGGGAAAAATGGAATCAGCTCATAGGAATCAAATTCCAACTTTTATTCTCCAAGGATCATTCTTCAGGGCAGGTCTGAATTTGATTGGTTGCCATGAGTTGTCTGAAATGGATTGTCCCATATATGACACCTCAGTCTGCTACAATGTAACAAGATAAATGTGAATAAATAAAATATTTCCAAAGTTGTGTTTTCTGATTATTTCATATTCGCATGTCGGCTTCTGGACACTTAACCACTTGCCGTCCACCTACTGTTTATAAACGGCAGGACGGTGGCAGTCCAGGGGCGGGTTGCCGTTCATATACGGCACCTGCCATTTCTAGCTGTGCGCGCTCCCTGGGAGCGCGCAGCACCCCGATCCCGTGCTCGCTGTGTCCTCCGGACACAGTGAAACACCGATCGTCGTACGGGACCTCTGTACGAGGTCCCGATCATGTGATCACTGATTGGCCAATCAGTGATCACATGCAAAGTAGTAAGCAAGATGTCACTTCTGACATCATTGCTTACTACGTGTGAAATCTGTGAATGATCACAGAGGTCACATGGTTCACAACAGCCTTGTACCATGTGACAAGCTGTGACCAATCACAGCTCACTCAGTATTTCTCAATGGCTGCAAGAATGCAGACAGACAGAAAGAGAAATTATTGCTTTTACATCCTATATGGGTGTAAAAGCAATCAGTGTAAAAAAAAAAAAAAAAAAAAAATCTTCATCACCCCCCACTGCTAGGGTGACAGTATGTAAAAAAAAAAAAACATAAATAATAATATACAAAAAATAAAATAAAAATGTAAAAAAATGTTTAAAAATTATCATTTTTGGTTATAAACTAATTTGGGTTATTTTTTTTTTTACTAAAAAGATAACGGAATAACATTTGGCCAAGATTTATAATAAATATTATTTATTTGCAAAATTTTATAAGAAAAACACTTTTTTTCAAAATTTTTGGACTTTTTCATTTACATAGCAAAAAAAAATAAAAATCCCAGCAGTGAATAAATACCACCAAAATAAAGCTTTATCTGTCTCAAAAAATGGTAAAAAATTCATATGGGTACAGTGTTGCATGACCCGCGCAATTGTCATTCAAAGTGTGATAGTGCTGAAAGCTGAAAATTGGCCTGGACAGGAAGGGGGTAAACGTGTCCGGGTCAGGAAGTGGTTAAAGTGTCACTAAACCCACATCATAAAAAAAACTATCAATAAATGGTGTATTCCATGCTGTTCATACTCACTCAGTCACTGTGGGACTAGTTCTGTATTCTGCCAAAAACCTGGTTGATCCTGCTGCTCTCTGTCTCCCCCTTCTGTCCATGTCCCCAATGCTGTTGGGGATTTTGCTGAGCAGTGTTGGCAGCTACTGCACATGCTCAGTTTTCAGTGAGTTTCTGTGCTGAGCATTTCTGATAAATATTAATTATATCAAATTCATAATTCGGCACTTATATTAATGGCAAGCTTGCAAAATATTTGTTTTTTTATGATTAATCATAATATTAAAATGTGTGAATGGTCGCCTTGAGCCAGTGATAGTGTTAATTTCTTCAGTTAAGCTGAGACAGCTGAGACAGCTAACCATCTGAGAGCTGAGTATTCTATAATAGGGCATAGCTGGTTACAGGACTCTAGAATGTCAAGGGTGTTAGAAGTGAATCAAAATAGAATAAGTCTTACATAATATATATACTAATAGTATCTGTATGTACTTAGCTTATGTTTTATATGTTGGTAATGTAACATATGTAGATTTGTGGTTACATAACATTATTGAGATGTTGTAAAGATACATTCTTAATTTATATTTTCATTTAAAGATGAGCAAGCTGATGTAACATCACCAGATTATTATGGTCACTACATATGTGCCTGTCAATCAAAAGACCATATATGTAGCTTCCCCTCCAATGAAATTGCTCTGCTAAGCAGTATTGTTTGCCATACAAGGTTCTAAGATCACTAATTATGACGCATACATGCATCATAAAAAGGCATCCTAGATAGACAGGGGGACACACGCACACACACACATGTCGGTCTATCCATACAGATATGCATAAGCAAAGCTGAGAAGCTAGAACAGGTGCATACTGTCAGACAAGAAATAGTCACTTCCGTCTAATTCCGGCTTCTTCCCAAAGACCCTGAAGGACAAACTGAACATGGAAGAAGCACATGAGACAATGGACATAAGGGTGACACATCTTTAAACTTCTGCTATGATATTTCTGGATTTATCTACATTGAACTGTTCATGATACCCTTTACTTTGTTATTTTAAGCCATTGTGTGATAAAATAGAATCACACGTTATTTTTTATCTCACCGGCTCTTTCATTTGCAAAAATTGCCTTAAGACACTAAAGAAATATATGTGTCTCAGAAAAT